AACTACGCATAATGAGCACCCATAGAATAAGAGCCATGGCATCCATATAGGGCTAGCTAGATCAATCACATGTACTTACAATTTTTCTATGAGCTCATCTGTCATCTTTATCCTGAAAGGATCCTTGGGATCGATCTGCTTCAAGATGTTCCCAAGCTTTGTAACCATCCCACAGAGTTTTTGATACCTAGGATTATATTCAAAAAGAGAAAAGCTCAGAATATACATGAAGTTCTCAGAACATATAAGGGATTTTCCCAACTTCAAAGACATTCCAAAAATCCAAAGTCCCTAATGCATACAGAAACAAATGCCAATCGTGTTTTGTTTTCTCTCTCTCCCTTTTATGTTACCTAGAAGTAATCATTAGCAAGACACTTAATAGATGCATAGACAGAAGTAGAACCCAATACCTACGTGTCTCACAATCATCATCATTAGAGCATTTTCCCAACTATTTGGGTTCGCCACAAATGTCTACCATTTTGCTCTATCAAGGGCCATACCCTCAATGAGGTAATAAGTCTCCATATTTTTTCTCACTACTTCCAACCATGACCTTTTGGGCCTACCACTTGTCCTTTCCGAGCCTTCCAATTGAACTAACTCACACTTCCTAATAGGTGTTGTATTGGGTCTGCCCTGTACATGGCCAACCCATCTAAGTTTGCTTTCTCTCATTTTATCGCCTATTGGGGCCACACCTAAGTTCTCCCAAATGTATTCATTTCGAATTCTATCCCTTCTTGTCTTGCCACTCATGCATCTCAACATCCTCATCTCAACTACATTCATTCTATGCGCATGTTAATTCTTAACCGCCCAACATTCCACCCTATAAAGCAAAGCTGGTTCACAAACCAACCAAAAATACATTTCAATTGACCTCATAGAGACAAGATCAATACCTAAATGATTCACTGAGTGTCCAAAGCAAACTTTAGGGTTAGAGATGACACTTGGACCTATGGAATTTCTAGATAAGTACATGCATTGATCTAAAAAACGGACCTCCCAGCGCCTAGGCGAAAAAACTGGGCGGTCCATCCTTGGGCGGCCGCCTAGGTGGTACGGAACCCGCCTAGGCCGCCGCCTAGCGCCCAGCCCTGAGCAGGCCCAGGGCCTCTGGCCGGCCCAGAGGCGGAAAAAATGAATTTTTTTTTTTTCGTTTTGTTATTTTGAAAGATTTAAAGGTTAAGAATGATGGCTTTTAGGTTCATTTGAACCCTAAATCCACAAGAAGCCCCTTTAAGACCAAAAAAAAACCTCCAAAACACAACATTTCATTCGATCGATCATCGAATCATGGAAGTGTTTCTTAAAGTTTTGGAATTCAAGCAACCAAAGTAAGTGCATTTTTTAGATTGCTTGATTTATTTTAAGATGTCTTCTTCAGGAGTTAGTCGGAGTGGAGATCCGGGTTGGAAATATGGGTACAACCCGAATCCAAATGACAAAAATTGCGTTAGATGCAATTTTTTGTGAAAAAAATACAAAATGAGGCATAAACCGGTTTAAGAAACATCTTGTCGGTATTAAGGGGGATGTTGCCCCTTGTAACAATGTTCTTGAAGCTGTTAGAGAGGAGAGTAAGAAATTTTTAAGTTATGTAAAACAAAAACAAGAACAAAATCCTTATCATAGATCTATTTCTGCTACTCCTAGAAAAAGTGATCCGGTTTGAAAGTATGGATATAACCCAAAACCAAATGATAAAAATTCTATAAGGTGTAATTTTTGTGAAAAGATACCAATAGGGGTATTAGCCGATTCAAAAAACACCTTGCTGGTGTTAGAAGTAATTTTGCTTCTTGTACAAAGGTTCCTAAAGCAGTTCGAAATGAGATTAGATATCTTTTGAATTTTGAAGAACCAAAAAAGGATGAAAATAAGCCTTGTTCTATGGAAGTATCTTCTCCAACTTCTAGTCGTCGGAGTGGTGATCCGGGTTGGAAGTATGGCTATATCCCGAATCCAAGTGATAAAAATCGTATTAAATGTAATTATTGTGGAAAGGATACTAATGGAGGCATTTACTGGTTTAAAAAACATCTTGCCAGTATTACGGGGGATGTTGCCCTGTGTACAAATGTTCCTGAGGCTATCAAGGAGGAAACTATACAATATTTAAGTTCAGAGAAGCACAAAAAGAAGGGTACAGCAGCCAAGACTCTTAGGGCCTCATCTGCACAGACTACACATACTAGTAAGAAGAAGGTAGAAGAAGAGGAGGAAGAGGCAGATTCAGAAGAAACTGAGGAGGATGAACGTTATATTGAAGAGGGAGATGACTCTGATGATGATGGCCTCGACTCTGATGCATATGATGAGGCTTACACTATTGATATTCCTTCTGATGATGATGATGATTGAAGACTCTTGCCTCTTGGTGCTGAGTGTTGAGTCTATTGACTGTTGTGTTGAGTTTGTTGACTGTTGACTTTTGTTATACTGTATAATCTAGTGTTGAGTGACTTGAGTCTGTTGACTGTTGTGTTGACTTTTGTTAGACTGTATATATTCTATATTTTTGTTGTGTTGGGTGTTGACTTTTATATCACTTGTATGGTTTACTGTTTTAACAATATGGATTATCAAAATTCTCTTCTCGACTTCTATTTTTTTATTTTATTTTTTTCAAGTTGGATTGTTGGAATATGGTATATTGGGACAATGGGATTTTTATTTTTTTTCAATTAGGCAGCCACCCAGGTTCTGGGCGCCCGCCTAGTGCTTTTTGATACACTGAGTACATGTGCTAATCTAAACACCAGTGCAGTTACAATCACTAGGAACCCAAGCCTCTCTAGTGTGCCTAGGCCCTGAAAGGATCCTTGGGATCAATTTGCTTCAAGATGTTCCCAAGCTTTGTAACCATCCCACAAAGTTTTTCATACCTAGGATTAGATTCAAAATGAGAAAAGCTCAAAATATACATGAAAATTCTCAGAACATATGAGAGATTTTCCCAACTTCAAAGACATTCCGAAAATCCAAAGTACCAGATGCATACAGAAACAAATGCGAAATGTGTTTTGCTTTGTCCCTCCCCCTTTTATGTGTACCTAGAAGTAACCATCAGTAAGACAATAGATGCATAGAACAGAAGTAGAACCCAATACCTACATGGCTCACAATCATCATCATCAGAAACTCTTCCCAACTATTTGGGTTCGGCTACACGAATGTTAGTCTACCATTTTACTCTATCAAGGGTCATCATACCCTCAATGAGGCCATAAGTTCCCATATCTTTTCTCACTGCTTCCAACCAGTGCTTAAAAACTCAGTAACCCGATCCGGAATCTGGCGATTTGGATTGGGAATCGCCAATACCGTTTCGAATCCAGCAAAAAACAGGATTCGACCGTTTTTTATAAATCGCTTGTGACGTCATAAATTCAGACTTGGTGGCGTCAGCAAACCCTTTTGCATGCCCAGTTTGCATGGACCATTTTGGTGTTTATTATAAAATGCAGGGCACACATTCAACCAAGGTTTTACACACCTCACCACATGATGCCACGTGAGCTACACCACATGATGCCACGTGAGCTACACCACAAACCACTCCACCTATGACGTACACTTCACTTTCCATAATTGAAGTTGTTATAGGTATTTTATAGCGGTTTATATTAGCGTCCCAATTCAATGTGGGACAAATTATTCCATTCCTCCCATGCAACTAAAGCAGTACTCTCTCCACCCACCAAACACCCTCTCCATCTCTCTCTCTCCCCCCCTCTCTCTCTCTCTCTATATATATATATAAAACATCACATCATTTAATATATTAATTTGTTATATGATTTAATAAATTATTATTATTATATTAATTATGTTATTTTCATATTTAGTCTAACTTGTAATTTTAAATAATATATTTATAATTTTTACAAAAATTAACTAATAACTTATTGTTAATTTGTTATTATTACAACTTATTTTATACAACAATAAAAATTTGATATAATTTTGAATTGTACTAAGTTGTTATATAGAAATTATTGAATCGTGTTTATTATAATATTATAGTTAATAATTGTACATTAGTATCCAAATCTTGGATTTCATTTATTAATTTATTTGCACTATAAATTTCGTAATGTATTATTTTTTCTTATAGTTGTAAATAATATCTTTTAAGTTAGAAGATATTATAAGACATTTTAGATTTGCTCTTATTTGTATAGTACAAAAATTTGAAAATATAAACTAACACTTTCAATTTTAGTATATAATATTAGTTAATTAGGTTGTGATACTTTTGGATGAGTAAAGTGAATTAATAAATGTTTGATACTTTGATGTAAGCTAATTTCACTTTATATGGAAATTATTATTTTATTCTTATAATATTGAAGTATTTTCTAATATTTAAAATTACTTAGATGCAATATTATAATGCTATGTTATAATTAATTATTATACAGACATTCAGATAGGAAAACGTCTCAGTGTTCACCTATTTTTACAAAGTAATGAAAGTACATAATGCATCACTCCTAATTTCTTTTATAAACTAAAAGAATACTATATTTAGATATTTATAGTGATTTTTTGAAAAAATTTTGAGACAAAAATTGCCAATTCGACCGATTCTCCAATACGATCCACCGATCCGACATGGGTATGAGTGTGAACAATTAGAGTCACCAATCCGTTTTTTTTAACACTGCTTCCAACCATGGCCTTTTGGGCCTACCCCTTGCCCTTTTTTAGCCTTCCACTTGAACTAACTCGCACTTCCTAACAGGTGTTATACTGGGTCTGCATTGCTGATGCAAGGAGAAAATAAAACCAGAAAATTAACGCTAAAAAAGGAAGGTTGAGAGAAAATACTCTCTCTCAAAGGTCTGCAAGGGAATCCACCCTAAAACAATCTCTTCACGAGACCAAATTCTATTCAATTAATTCACTCTGATTTACAATGAAGGGAAACCTCCTTTTAAATCGACTAATAAAAAAAAAAGATAAGCAAAGGAAAAACCTCTCTACACGCACTCTCCTATTTTATCTCTCCTCCCTATCTCATCCCTATTTTCCTCTTAACTTCACGTACCTTCCCACGTTTTCATCCAAATCTTCCCGATTCCCACGTTTTTATCCAAAGCCAACCCATTATTGAAAAGATAAAAACACCCATTATTGAAAAGATAAAAACTCCCATTAGATTAACCTTAT